GCGAGGCTTTAGTTGCTCCACGGCATGAGGGATCTTCCCCGACCAAGGATGGAGCCTTTGTCCCCTGCACTGGCGGACAGATTCTTAACACTGGACCAGCAGGGAAGCCCCCCAGGTCCCTCTTGTTCTGCACAAACATTCCCTGTGAGTGGTCTTCCCTGAACACTAACCTACAATATGTCCTCCCCCCATTTCTCTTTTTTTGCACTATCCTTTTCACTCCTTCATAGCATTTATTGAAGTCTTAAATTACCGTCATTGTTAATGTTTTCTCCCATTCAAATGGACTTCCCGGGTGGCTCAGTGGTAGAGCCTGCCTGCCAGTGCAGAAGATGCAGGTTCACTCCTGGGTTGGGAAGATCCCCTGGAGAAGGAAATGGCAACCCACTCCAGTGTCTTGCCTGGGAAATTTCACGGATGGAGGAGCCTGGTGGGCACAGTTCATGGAGTCACAAGGAGTCGGACAGGACTGAGCGCACACACACACACACCCATTCAAATGTCAGTTCCGTAACATCAGGGACTACACCCCCCCTTTTTCCACACTTCTGTAGCCCCAGTGTGTGCAGTACTTGGCACAAAGCAGATACTTAACAACTATATTTTGCTATAATATTTTATCATCGTTTTCTACTTCACTAATCCTCTCCTCATTTGTGTCTAATCTGATGTTAAACCTATCCACTGAGTTCTTAATTTCTATCATTGTGTTTTTAAGTTCTAGAATTTCCATTTGGTTCTCTTCTATAACCTATAGTTCTTGGTCTTGTCTTCTATGCATCTGAATATACTAAGCATTATTAGTTAAAAGTTTGGTTGATAATTCCATTATCTGGATTTTCTGTGTAATTATTTCTATTATTTATTGCTCCTCTTGTTTTTTCTTTGTTTTTTTGATCATGTCGTCTTCAGTTTCTGTGAGGGGTTGGGCTGTTGTTTCTCATTCACTTGTACTCCTCATGTATAACCTTTCATGCTCCCAACCCAAAGCCTGGTGGAGGGTGGGGGAGTTTATCAAGGCCCTCCTTTCTTAGCAGTTCTTGAACTACAGTTTTCTCCCCCAGCTCCATAAATCTCTATAAAGTTCTGCTCAATTTCTCAGCTGTCTCTCCTGGAAGTAGCAAGTACTTTTAGAGGAAAAGCAGCCCCAAGTGAAGGGCTCACATCTTTATTCCCTCAATTCTTTTCTTCATTGGTAACTCCCCAAATATTTAGTCTACTGTTGCCCCATAATAAGCATTTATTGACCGCATGAATACAGGCATACAAGGCTTGGAGGTAAGGTGTGATCACCTTTTACTCACTTATTATTCAGCTGTCCCTGACACCTAACTGCCATATTCTGTTTTGTGCTGAGTTAGAGAGGTGACAAGACCTAGAGGGACCTGGTCTTGGGTCAAGCTACTAAACCATATTCTTAGCAGACACAATCTTTAGAGCAGTGGCCAACAGAAGAAGCTCTTGGAATACTGAGGAACTCCCTCCCTTTGAAGGAGTTTCTCGGAGCAGGGGAATGGAAATTTTCTCAGAGGAAGGGGCTCTGAGCTAAGTCTTCTTTTTTTAATATTTATTTTTATTTACTTATATATTTATTGGCTTGCCAAGTCTTAGTCGTGGCAGGTGTGATACTGGATTTTTGTTAAGGTATGCAGGGTCCTAAAGAAAATCAGTCCTGAATATTCATTGGAAGGACTGATGCTGAAGCTGAAGCTCCAATACTTTGGCCACCTGATGCAAAGAACTGACTCATTGGAAAAGACCCCGATGCTGGGAAAGATTGAAGGCAAGAGGAGAAGGGGATGACAGAGGATGAGATGGTTGAATGGCATCACTGACTCGATGGATATGAGTTTGAGTAAACTCCGGGAGCTGGTGATGGACAGGGAAGCCTGGCGTGCTGCAGTCCATGGGGTCGCAGAGAGTCAGACACGACTGAGTGACTGAACTGAACTGAACTGCAGGGTTTTTAGTTGCAGCATGCAGACTCTCAATTGTGGCATGTGGGATCTAGTTCCCTGACCAGGGACTGAACCCAAGCCCCTTGCATTGGGAATGCGTATTCTTAGCCATTGTACAATGAGGGAAGTCCCTTGATCTAAGTCTTAAAGAACGAATATTATCAGATAAAACAACTGAAGAACAGCTTTCCTTAAAGAGAAAAGACTTGGGTTGTAAAAGAGCCTGGGGCAACTAGAGGTGCAAGGTGGGTGTGGTTGTGGGCTAGGGTGTGAAAAGTATGGAACCCAAAACAGAAGGCTGGGGAGGAAGGAAGGGCTTTGAATGTCACACTAAGGAGTTTAGGCCTGATTCTTGGGGGAGGTAGGGGCTACGTATTGAGATTTCCCAAGTCAGGTTTGGAGAAGGTGTATGGTCAGGCAGGAAAATCTCGAGACAGACTAGGTTCTCTCTTTAGCTCTGCATTAATCTTCCCTTTTTAGGTCCTCAATTTTCCCATCTGTAAAATGGGGGTCTCTCCAAGCCCTGCACAAGGATGACACGCAAATTCGTGAAGCGTTCCATATTTTTCCGGGAGTTGGTGATGGACAGGGAGGCCTGGCGTGCTGCGATTCATGGGGTCGCAAAGAGTCGGACACGACTGAGCGACTGAACTGAACTGAACTGAACTAAGCTCTTTAAGTTTTGCAACCAGGGTTCTGATGGTGTTAGACAGAATGAAGCTGCTCAGAGGGCAGGAGAGGAAGTTTGAAGCCCCACTTCTCTCAGGTACTAACAGACTCCAGACATCCCTCCAAGTCACAAGTCCCAAACTCTAAAAACCCTTCCAGCACCCACCAGATCTCCCAACCACTAGCAGCTCAAGCTCAAACGACAGCAGAGACTCAGGATGTTAGAAATGAAATTTCTGGGGTTTGTAAGAATGTTTTTGCAGATATGAGCTTGGCATTTACGTATCGTCACACAAATCCGCAGCATGGAGAAAGGACCCAGGGTTTAAGAGGGGAGAAGACCGCCCAGTGGGATGGAGCCAGTTTCAGCAGGGCAATCTTGAGCTTCAACATGGGCCTCTTGTCTCCTGGGGCCAGGGCCCTTCTGGCATCTGCTGCCTCATGGACTCTCACCCACCCACGTGCACCAAAGGCAGCCAACACGGTGAGGTTAAGGGTCAGGAGCTGCCTCAGGTGAAGGAGCTGATGGGGGTGGGCCGTGGCAGGTGAGGCAGGCTTACCTACTGGGGTGGGGAATTAGCTCAAACTGTATCGCGCTTGCTGAGCATGCGAGAGGTATTGGGATTGATGCCCGCATTCTCCAGTTTGGGGCCTCACTTGTGGCTCAGCTGGTAAAGAATCTGCCTACAATGCGGGAGGCCTGGGTTTGATCCCTGGGTTAGGAAGATCCCCTGAAAGAAGGAAAGGCTACCCACTCCAGTATTCTGGCCGGGAGAAGTCCGTGTACTGTGTAGTGTCACAAAGAGTCGGACACGGCTGAACGACTTTCACTGTTTGTGGCAGGCAGTGGAGGGCTCCACCCACTTCCTTCCCTACCCACCTCCCCAGGAGCCTCAAGATTCCTGCCCCTTCCATTTTACTTCTTGGCTTTCACCAGCTTGACTTTCAGGTTTTTGTTTGGTTTTTTTTTTTTTCCTTTGTTTCTTTTTAGCCAGGGCTGGAGGCCCTAAGAGCTCACTCAAGTGTTTCTGAGGCTTACTCAAGTTTTTCTGAGGCTTGCTACACGAGGCCCCAAACCGGAGCAGGGACGCGAGAGAGGGGGCATTTCTTTTACTACCTGGCACGCAAACAAGACACAGAATAGACTAAGGAAGGGAGAGTGAGTGAGGCTGAAGCTGGGCTGCAGAAACAACCCTTGGGTCCTCCAGGAGGGAGCCAGGCAGGGAACCAAGACTTAATCGGTGACTTCCAAGACAGCCCAGAGGTTACATACATGGCTGCAGCTTCAGACAGACCTTGAGGCAATTCCACCTGAAACTGGCTCCTCCTTTTATTACCTTGGGCAAGTCACTTAATATCCAAGCCTCAGTTTCTTCATCTGGAAAATGGGGGTGATTATGGAACCTGCTGCAGAGTCTCACTGAGATAATAAAGTGACAGGATGTTTAAAGAATAGAGCACGGTTCACGCATCTTTGTGATTCACCCTGTCCCCCACCCCTGGCTGGGACTTCATAGACACCCCCACCCCAAATCCCTTCCCCTGAAGTTTAGTTAACTTCTGGTCCTCCACTAGCCTTCTTCCCATCGCTCTGAGACTAATACAGATACCCATCTGCTGTTTTCTTTACCCAAGTCACAAGATGCTAGGCCTTAGTAAACTTCAGAAATAATCCACTTCAGTCTTCTCACCTGAGGCCTGGAGGAAATGGGCTTACCTAGAAGCTAGGTTTCTGAGTTCCTGTCACATTTCACCTTCATTTTCACAGAAATCTACACACCCCACTTTTCGTGCTCCACAATCCTTTCTTCTGAATCTTAGAACGGTCCATAACCTTACTTTGAAACCTAAATTTATCCCAGCCTTTCCTCCTTCAGCACCTACCCCCTGCCCCAATCTCCTTTTATTTATTTATTTTTTCCCCCAATCTCCTTTTAATGATACTATATTTTTTTAATTCTCTGGCAATTCTTTCAGAAAGGTACCGTTTCTGGCCCCAGAGTCCCAGAATTGATAGGTGATTAAACCAAGATTCAATCCCCACCCTGCAGGGCTCCAAGCCCAGGGCCCTCTTTACTGCCCCCCAGCTGCCTCTGGGTTTGCCCACCTCCCATCCCCTGGGATGTGCCTCAGTTCCACTCCAGAACCCATCACCTGCCAGAGCTGTGGAGCTGGGGCCTGGCATCCTCAATCCCAAGGTCTGTAGGACAGCAGCAGTACTCACCCCACCCCAGAGGCCCTCCTTCCTTTCCCTCCACCCCGCCTCCCTGCTTTACCCTCCTTCAAAAGCAGCCAAGCCCAAAGAGGCCTGCAGACAGCCCTGAGTTCACCTCCAAAAGCTGCTACCGAGAGAGCCGCGGAGAGCCCTCCAAGATGAAAGGCTTCCTCTTCCTCCTCTTCACCATCAGCCTCCTGATTATGATTCAGGTAAGAGCAGCCCCCTGGAGTCCCTGGAACCACTGCCCCAGGCTCCTCAGATCTGCCTGGCAGCGGGGAGAGGGCCTGCAGGCTCCTGGCGCCCAGCGTTCCTCCCATGGGAACCAAGGACGCCGGACGCTTGGCTCCCAGCCTTCCAGCTCTTCTGGTTGGGGTCAGGCTGTTGGAGGGTTTCCCCTGAGCATTGCTGCCTCCGGCACTTGAGGCTGGGGCACACTGACAGGGTGCCAGCATACTGAGGCCCCCAAGGGGTCTTGTGGAATAACAGGGGATGAAGAGGCTTAGGAAGACAGCCAAGAGTGACGATGGCATCAACCCCTGGGGAACCTGGGGAGATGGTCCTGTTGGGAGGGGAGCCGGGAGGGGTTCAAATGGAGCCTGATGGAGGTGGCAGGGAACCCCCGCCCTGGGTGAGGAGCCTGAGTGTTTGGCAATGCTAAGAAGACAGAATTCTCCCATTCCAGAAACAGCTAGAGCCTCAAGATCAACTGCTACTCCAAGAGGCGGCTTTGGCAGCATCTCACATGCTAGTCAGTACAGAAGGGAGCCATTGAGCTCTCCATCGAGAACAGCCTGATCAAGCATTAAGGACAACTTGGTCGCCATCAGGAATAGCTTAACCTCCACCAAGGGCAGCTTCAGTTGCAGCGTAATCAGGCTTTGAGAACAGCTTGATCACCATCTGGCCGTCTCTTTGGGGGGAAAAGTCACACCCTCCCTACCCCCACCCACCCATATTTCGCCAGGTGCCTTCTCTCCAGCCCAGTCTCATGTGACCTCCCCCATGACTATGATGGGCTCTTCTTCCCATTCACTAGATTAGGAAACAGGTTAAGAGAGGCTAAGGCCCTGGCCGGGCTATTAAGGGTCAAGGTCTGGGGCCACAGATTTCCCTATCTCCTGCATGCTGGAGGTGCGGGTGACCTGGTGGATGTGAAAGGAAGGTCCCAGGAGACAGACAGGGGACTGCCTCTGACCCTGCCTGCGTTGTGGCCCAAAGCAGCCAGCCCTCCCCACAGGACCTTGGGGCAGAAGTCACGACGCTTGGGACAGGGAACCAGGGACTACAGTCTGGGGGTGGGAGAACTGTGTCTCTAAACAACACACCTGAGATTCACCCGTCCCCGGCTTGCCCCACTTCTCCTCTTACAGATACAAACTGGAGTCCTGGGAAACCATACCACCACCATCACCACCTCCTCCAAGAAACCCCAAAGCGGCTCCCCAGCCTTCGGCAGCCTAGCCGGTGGCAGCATCCTTTTCTTCTTGACAAACACCCTCATCCAGCTCTTCCACCTCACCTGAGGTGACACACCCCAGCCCTCATCCCATGCCCCCCAAGACAGCGGCCATCATCACTAGCAGAAGCACCCCCAATCCTTGGGAGGCGCTGATGCTAGAGATGAGCAGGTTGTAGGAATTGATGGGCAGAGCTTGGGGTGGGGCCCATGGCCGACACAGGGAGGTTCTGACATGGAGAAGGAAGCACCATCCAGCTGGGGCTCAATAAAGCTGTTGTGTACTTGGAGCGGGGTGCTACGTGTGGTCACTGGACATCACTGGATCTGAAGAGCCAGCCCCCAGGGGCTGCCTGTGTCCCCATCAGCAGGAGAGGTGGCACCAGGGAGCTCACACCCCACCTTCCCTGCCCCAAAGTCTGGAAGCTGGGACCCTACCTGTTTGGATCCCCTTGAAAGGACCCAGCCCAGAACCTGCCATAGTCAGCCTCTCTCTAGGTGCATTTGGTCACTGGTCCCTGGGAATTCAGGAAAGGAGGTCCCAGAGGACCCATCCGCCCCTACCCAGACCTTGGGCATCCACAGTTGCAGAGGCTCAGAGAGTCCCCCACTCCACTACTTGAGTTTCTTCAGAACAACAGATTCAGAGAGAACTGCCCGCCCAACCTCTAGCGGTTCCCTCACAGCCAGCCTCCTGTCGTCACGTCTCCAACCACAGGGGTGCTGAGAAAGGTGAAGAGGCCGCTGTTCGTTTCTTTCCCACCTACCCATGGTTGGGAAGGCAGGAAGGACATGCAGCTGCTCTAACCACCGTACCCCTCTTGGAATTGGGATCAACAGAGAGGAAAGGGACCCTGGAGAAGCCCCCATCTCTGTCTCTTCTGGGAGGACCTCGGCCAAGAGGCCAAGTGTTTGCTAGATTGAATGACTGTGTCCTGCCCTCTCTGAGCTGGGTTAGGGACCAAGACCCCCTGTCCCGGCTTATCTGACTGAGATCAAACCTTTAGGGCTTGAGACCAGGGTTGGGAGAAATTGATAGGAGCCCTGGTGAGCAAGGCCCTTTGAGGTGTGGCTCCCACTTGCTCTCATCCGGCCCACCCTGCCGCCATCACACTGGACCTCCGGGTTTCCACCCCTGAATTTGTCTGCACCCCTCTGCGGCCCTCTAGCCCGGCTGACTCCTTCTCATCCTCCACACCGCAGGTGAGGGTTCGCTCCTCCGGGCAGTGTTCCAGGCCTGCCTCAGTGGTTTCACGTCCTCACCTGTGCACGCCTCCACTCCCGTTCTTAGCCTGTCCCTGAGTGTATCACCCTACCCGTTGGAATCCTCCACTGGACTGAGTTGCCTGAGGGCAGGGACCAAGGCTTGGATCATGTTTGTGCCCCTGAAGCCCATGCTCCGAGAATCCATCACTTGGCAGGGCGGAGGTGGGGACAAGAGCCCGCTCGGCAGTCAGTCTGGTCCCAGGGCTCCCTCTGGCGGCAGAGGGAGGCCTTGCAGCTGAATGCCAGGACGGGAGAAGGCAGGTGAACCTCACTCCCACCCCCAAATATCAAGGGGCAGCGTCAGGGATACCTGGGAGCATAGTATAAAACAGTTTATGTTACAACAAAAAACCCTATAAAAACATGTCCTCCCAGGGAGAGCCTCCAGGGCTGGGGGGTGGCAGCGAGGTTTCAAAGCACATGGACAGTCCAGATCTGGGATGCCCTGTCCTTGGCCAGCTCCCACAGCACCGCGTGGTCCCGGTCGTAGCCCCGGCCACCTGCGGGGAATGGGGTAAGAGAGGGGAGATGGTCAGAAAGAGCTGGGGACTCCACTGCCCTCGGGGGCTTTCTCCCACACACGTGCCCAACTTACCCTTCACGTCTAGGATCCGACCTTCAAACATCTGGCTGCAGATGTGGCCCGACTCACTGATGCTCCATGTCTGGCGGGGCAGGCGGCTCTCAGCCCACAGCACCACCTTGGAGCCTGTGCTGGGGGCGCCAATCACCTGCAGGCTCATGGTGGGGGCCACCTGAGGCCCCCAGGAGGTCGTCAGGCACCGGCCGTCCCCCAGGGACTCTGCCAAACCTAAGACACCTTTGATACACCCAGCTTTGAATTTCTGGCTCTCGTGGACTGTGACTGGGCAAACTTCTTGATCTTTCTGAGCCCTGTTTTCCTGGGGGGATGGTTGTTGAAAGGGTTCTAGTTCAATGTGAGAAACCATAAAAGAGCTGGGAAAATTTTAACTCCTCCAGGAAGGCTCCCATGACTGCCTCTTGAAGCACAGGCTTTAGCAGCAAACTTCCACATACTTATTGGCTATGTGTCTTTCAGCCAGTTACTAAACTGGTTTCCTCACCTATAAAATGGGAAGTATAATAGGACCTGCCCCCTAGCGCCCTCTAGGGATTGCATGCAATGTTCACATGAATCCATCATGATGTTCAGGTGAAGACATCTGCACAGTATCCCCTCCACTGCCACTTTCTCAGGAAAGGTTCCCCTTGTCAGAGATACTGGTATTCCTTGTTTTCCTTTCTTAATCTATTTTTCCTCTATTGCATTTTTCAACACCTAAGACTCACTGAAGCCATTTCTTTCTCTCCCCCCTAGGAAGCAAACCTCAGGAGGGCCGAGCACATGGCAGGTGCTCAGGAAGGATTTGTGGAGTGAATCTATCATTTTGTTTTGGCCATGCCTCACGACTTTTGGAATTTTGATTTCCCAACCAGGTTCAAGCCTGGGTGCCTGGCAGGAAAAGCCCCAAGTCCTAACCACTGGACCACCAGAGAATTTTCGAATCTATCATTAATAATAGGACCCAGATCTGCCACAGGTTATCAGAGTTGGGAGGTCCCTTAGAAGCCTCTGGTCCAGCCCCTTTTGTTTTGCAGATTAGAGACAGAGACCCAGGGAAGAGCCTGAACTACCCAAGGGTACACAGCCTGCCTTCTCCACCTCCCCAGGGTCCTGCTGTCTGTATCTCTCTGCCTCTCTGGCCCAAGACTGACTCCTGTTCCCGACTGGGCACAGGCTGGGACTCCTGAAGGTGGGTTTGTGAGGGTCTGGGGGCCCTGGGGTCCCTGTCCCATCCCCTAAACTGGTACCTGGTTCTTCAGTAGCCCGTCCTCATAGAACCAGATGTTGCTGCCTCCGGCTCGGGGCTCAGAGACCACCACACGGCCTGCCTTCATGTCTTCCACATGGTCTGGCACGGTCAGGTATCCCCCCAGTGCCGCATTCCAGAGGCGGAAATAAGCCCGGCGCTGGTGAGTGGGGGGAGTCGAGAGTCAGGGCTCTCTGGGCAGGGATGCTCCCACTTGGGCCCCTAATGCCCTCAACTCTGGACGCTCCAGTAACCCAAGCTCCCAGGATCTCCCTCCTGCCCCAAACCGACCTGGACCCTGTTTCTAAGTCACCCCTTCTTTCTCACTCATATGCTGAGGGCACACTCACAGCACATACCCACACAGTTGTATGTCTGTAGAGATGCACATAGACACACCTGCAGATACACCCAAGATCCACATGGTTGCACAGGACGGCAGACACAGACACAAGGGTACATACCAGCAGGCGCACTCACTACTTGCTCCCCCCACTGACTTCACATCAGACACTCAGGTTTGCTAAAAGTTGGAGGCATATAGAGGAATACAGATGTGCACAAGCACTTATTAAGAGACATGCTCACATTACATGCTAAAGAGGAATCACGGCAGGGCGGATGCTGGCTTGGCCACAAATCACCCAGGGGTCTTAGGTGGTGGTGACAGTAATAATAATAATCACAGGCAATGTCTGTTGACATTTAACACTGTTCTGAGGGCTTTATATCATTATTACCTTCAATTCTCAAAACAGCTCTATCATACATACCACCCCCATTTTATAAGTGAGGAAACTAGGGCCATGGAGGTAAACAACTTGCGAAGATGGTAGAGCAAATCCTTGTCTACTTTTTTGGGTCTTTATTTCTCCATCTGTACAATGTGAGGGTTGGAGATCTCCAAGAAATCTCCAAGATTTCTTCTAGCAATGATGTTCTAAGAGGGACCGTACAGGTATCCTCACACGAAGACACATGTTTTCAACAGTGTCACAAGGCCAGCCACACGCAGTCACAAACACACTCTCACAGATGTACAGGGTAGCCACAGATTGCCACCAGAGGGCACATGCATACAAAGGCCATCATGAGCACAGAAATGCCCTCAGATAGGCACACACACACACACACGCACACGCACACACCCTGTGGCCAGGCCTCCACATACATGCCCTCATTGCACATAAATGAGACACAGGTCCAGACATGCACTCATAGACACAGAGAAACACAGGTACAGACACAGCGTTGCAAAGTGAGGCGTGCTCGCTAATGGGTGGTACATGAGCTACTTTTCAGGCTTATGTGGATAAGCCTTATTGTTAAAAAAGTAATGGCAATCTGTTTATTACAGTGTCTATTAAGGAAAAATCACACACACACACACACATCAAACCCATGATCTAATGGACATTATTCCTTAGGATAAGGATAAAGTTAAAAAAGAAAAGTGAGTTGATTTAGAGGAATATATTAAGGGGTTAATGGTTCAAGAGGAATGACAGTAGGACAAAAATTATGACCAAAGTACATAAATGCTGAGTTTGGGAAACGTGGGAAGTGCACAGACAGACAGACAGACACACAACCAGACGAGCTGACTCAGATGCACTCGAGCTGACATGCTACCCACCTGCTTGATGGGGTAGAGGGAGCCCACCCGCTGAGTCCCGCTGTACGTCAGCCAGTTGGTGATCTCACAGCTGCCCACCAGCCACTGGCGACCCCGGAAGTCACTGTGCTCGCATAGCACCCACCTGGACCCGGTGAGCGCCAGAGACACAGTGAGGAAGACAGACAGACAGACAGACAAGAAGGAGAGGAGGCATGGCCGTCAGGACGGTCTCCAGCTCCCCTTCTCTCAAGCTGGGACTCCTCTGCCTGGGGTTCGGGTCCCAGGAGTGGGTGGAGAGGGAGGCGGGAAAGGAGCCCTGGGGTTTGCAGGGCAGAGTAGGATCCTGGAGAG